ATAGCTCTGGTGGTGCAATGGTTAAGCATTCTGTTGCTAACAGAAAGGTTGGTGACTAGAACCCACCCAGCGGCTCTGCGGGAGAAAGACCTGGCGATCTGCTCCCATAAAAATTATAGCCTAGAAAACCGTGTGGGGCAGTTCTACTCTGTCACATGGGGTCTCTTTGAGTCAAAATTGACTTGACGGCACCTAACAACAACAACTGTGATTTATTAGGCATTGAAATCTTTCTGTCTCACTTAATTACAAACACAAGTTTAGTTGTAAACCGGTTTGGACCACAGAATGTATGGTCTCATAGAAACAGTGTTGCAACAGTCGTTAGGATTGAAAATTGATCCCAGATATTTGTCAAACCCACAGAAATGTTGAGTTTCTTTTCCCCGTTTGAATTGCATTGTTCCTTTGCCATATGCACCACTTCAAGAAACATCGTGAGTGCCAGGACACATTTGCATCTTTCCTCCCTAACTGCCAGGGACTAAAGGGGCGTTTCTTGGGGGAGAGGAGGAGCTGTATAAAAGGAAGTCGCTCTAGAAGACGGTCATGTCCCAGACGTTCTAAAGTGAGACCCAAAGGGCTGTTGCATCACCTGGGGGTCATTGTCCCAACTCTGGATTTAGACTTAATTTAATTTACAGGAAATTCTTTAATTTGGAGGAAAATCATTAATTTATAGGAAATTCTCAGGAACTCAGAGGTAACTATTTCTATATGCGTCCTTCCTTTATCCACATCTGATTTGTATTTTTCTCATATCAAAGCCCACTTGAATGTAGTAAGGATTTATGGTGTGAATTCACTAAGCATAAGGGTTTGACCCCAAAGAGAGTCCCACTAGACGTTTGGATCAACCCCTCTAGGTTGGACTTCGCGGTGGTAGTTGGGTGGCTTTGCCCCGGAGTAATGATCTGGTTGACAGCCTTTGTGAGGGGACCGTTCGGTTAGTGGTTCTGTGGTAGCATCTGATTAACCACAACTCACAAGGCAGGCAGACAGGCATCATCGGGCTGATGAGCAAATTAGACTCCCATACAGAAGAGCTACATGTAACAGTGGAGATGGTTTAAATTAGAAACATTTTGCAATTCTTTTGTACGATCCATTTTTAAGCATGATTTTTTGTTTGGTTTCGAACATATTATTAAAATGACTTAAACATGATTTTATATTGTTTTAATTCAAGCACGGCATCTTTGAAGATCACTTTTGAACTTGTTTAATTGTAAATTATACCAAGAGAATTCATGGGATTTTATATAACAGGCAGATTTTCTTTTCTTTTTAAAGGAACTCTGAGATATTTGTAGAATCATTAATTTTTTTGGGGGGGTGGGGTGTAGCTCCAGACTACAAGTGCATATAAACCTGAAACCCATTGCCATCGAGTTGATTCCAACTCACAGTGATGATGTAGGGTTTCCAAGGCTGTAATCTTTATGGAAGCAGACTGCCACATCTTTCTCCCTCTCAGCAGGTGGTGGGTTTGAATTGCTGACCTTTCAGTTAGCAGCCGAGCACTTAACCACTGTGCCACTAAGGCTCCTTACAATTGGATATATTACTACTAAAATGCACTGAGTGGTACCCCAATGGGTTAGAAGAATGATCACCACTTTAAAAATGCCAGTTCTTGCCAGGATTTATTTTATCACTGTGAGGCAATAATAAAATTTTGGTGTCATGCTAGTCTGAATATTAAATTCAGCAGTTTTCTGGAATGTATTTTCGTTTTTTCCCAAGGATTTTATTTATGCCCCATAAACTTATATGGAGAATATACTATTCATTAGTGAGTTTAGTGTTCAGGGTAGCAACTGCTCTAAAAACTGTTCCTACGATGATTTAGATTGTCAAGAGTTCAGAGCGGGAGCCTAGTCTTGCTACTGCCGACTGGCCACGTGCCTTTGGGAAAAGCACAATTCAGCTTTGTTTTTCTCAGCTGTAAGGTGAAGAGAGGCCACTAGGTGGCAGAAACGGTTTGCTCTAGGCTACTGACTGAAAGGTTGGCAGTTTGAATCCACCCAGAGATGCCTCAGAAGAAAGGCCTGGCTATCTACTACTCAGCTTATCTACTGTAAGATTACAGTCACTCAGAATCCTATGGAGTGCAGTTCAGCTCTGAACCACACAGGGTCACCATGAGTTGGAACGAACTGGAAAGCAACAAGTTTTATTTTTTTTAAGGTGAAGGGATGTGACTACTTGATCTTTAATATTGCTTCTAGTTGTTTAATTCTATGATTTCCTTTGTGAAAGTTTTAATTAACTGTGTAAATAAAGTCCTATCAAGTACTAAATTTTTTCTAAAAAGCATCCTAATAGTCGGTATTTTTTTTTTCTTTTGGTTGTGTCTTGCTTTTGAAAGTAAGAGTCAAATCAAAATAAAGCTAACACATAACAGAGGTTCAGTCACAAAGCAAACTCCAGGGTATTTCCTTCAGTCAGTATAGCATCTGTCGACTCTCCCGCAGTTTGCTGTCTGTAGGATGTCACTGATGTTAAACTAATGACTTTGAAGCGCTGCAAGTTCATCAAAGATTTAAGTCTGTTCAATAAGTTATGCTTCTTACTTCC